CTCCTCCTCCCCCGTTCCCTGTTCTACAATCCAGCACAGGGGTTGGGCAGCAGAGTTACTGTGGGGGGAGAGGGAACAGGAGGCTGGAGCTGGAACACAAAGCAGCACCTGAATGGGCAGAAACCAAGCTGCCAGGCCAGCTCTTTTCTCAGGGCCTCTTCAGTGACGCAGTTCCCTCGTACTGAACGGAAACTCACTTGCAGTCGTGCATTAAAACACGGTCTCGCGCCCCCTCCCCCCTGCTAGATCTGAGATCACACACAAAAATAAAGAGGACAAAAAAAAGAAAAGATGCCAAGAATGGCTTCCTTTTCCCCAGCCACCACCACCCATCTCCACTAACGAACAGCACCAAGAAGCCAAAGTGCAGAGCAGCAGCCTCAGGTCAGAGCACACGGGTAAGTTCAGCACTGCACACAGTCTCGGCAGGTCTCCGCGCTCTTTTCCTCCCAAGGGCAAGTTTGGCAATCAACGCTCTCCAGTTGCTCGTCGCTGCAGCCGGAGAGATCCATCTGCCTGGAAAGGCATTTCCTGTGCGCTCCAGATAGAACGACTCGCGTGAAACTGGCAGACAGCTCACTTTTGCTAGCAAGGGACAGACTAATTGGATGCTTCTTGCCTTCAGTCCCCATCCTGACCTGCCTCCACAGATCTCAGAACAAACACAGGCTGAGGCCGAGAGCAGCTGTACCGCTCAGGCCCCTGAGAGCGGGGGGCTGTGGGCTAATCCCTGGCTCGGCTCTCATCTCCGAGCACATGGCTTTGATGCTGGTGGCACTGCAATCCAATATAAAGCATCTAAGAATTGAAAATGCCACCGAATGATTGGGCGCCACAGAGATAATCCTGCTTTCTGGCTGAACTCCTCATGCTGAAACCAGCTGCTTGGCAAGGTGCAGAGGTGACCAGTTGTGCAGAAAGCACGAGGGACAAACAGCGCCACCTCCAGGACAGGGCAGTCAGGTGCCACTTCAGCTCTTGCAAGTTGCAGGCCCCCATAGAGGGCTGCACTGATGGGGCAGGAAGCAAATAGAGTATATACACTATGTCACTACTTTACTATTAGACCATTACTCTGCTTATCACTCACTTTATATCTATTTACCTTAAACAAGGTAAAAAGCTAAAACTATCCAGCACGTGTCCACAAGAGATCTGTGGTTTGTAAAACCTGGAAGGGCTCTGTACCCTCGGTGATTCTCTCCTGGGACGGTTTGTGTGGGGAGAGGGCGTGGGTGTGTAAAAAATAGAGGCACAATGACAAGACTCTCTGCTCTCCTTCCCACTGATAACTGATGTGTGGGCAGCGTTCTGGCGCACTATGGCTGCCGTCGCATCATCCAGGTGGGGCTGCACACTGGTGCTGGTGGAGAGGATCCCCATTACCTGTAAAGCGCTTTGAGTGGAGTGTCCAGAAAGCAATTATTATTAGTAGTATAATTATTATCAAGAGCAGTGCCAGAATAACTCACGCATCACTGCAATTCACACTGCTTTGAGAGTCAGCAGGGTTAAGGCTCAGAGAGGAAATGGGTGTAGTAACACCAGCGTGCTCTCAAAATCCAATCTTTAAACAGCCTGCCACACACGCAGCTCCTGATGACACCAGGCCTCAAGGGTGATTATGAGCCTTTAAAGAGCCAGGATCACTGAGAAAAGCTCCAGCCAGCAGGATTCGCACACTGGAGAGGACAGGTCCCACACTGCTGCAGCTGGCACTGCTGTGCTTATTGCACAGTGCTGCTACATGTTTTGCACACAACGCTCTACAAAATGGACCAGGAAGGGCTGGGAGCAAGAGGAGGCCACTGGGACTTCATGCTGGTTTGGCTGCTGGCTATTTGCCTAGAGGGGATCTTATCCAGCTGCGTCTTGAACGAATCCAGGGTATTAGCATCCAACCACATGGCTGGGCAGCCTGTTCCACACTCCCACAACCCTCTGTGTAAAGAAGTACCTCCCGTTCTGAGTTCTAAATGCGGTCCATTTGGTTTACATTCTCGGCAGTGCTCTGTGTTCTAGAGCATGAAGATCTGCTTCCTTCAGCCTGTCAGAGTAGGATATTCCTTTAAACCCAGGAATTATCTCCTTGCTCTTTTCCATTTCCACAGCAGCAATACCTTGTCATAAAGTTTGGAGCACAACTGTACACAATATGGTAAGCAAGGCCTTTACATTGTAAACTTTTAACAATATATATTACATTTCTTTTTGTTTCTTCTAATAAAATGATTTTTTAGAATTCAATGCTAATTGTGAATGAGGGCTACCTTAGTTTAAGCTAAGCTTAAACCAATACACCCAGATTCAGCAGACATGGCTACAGTATGTACTCCCACTGTGCAGCAACAGCTACACTCGGTCTGTTTCACAGTTTAACTTCAGTTTCTTTTCTGCCGTGAGATCCACAAACTCAATCTTTCCAGCCCAGAGTTACAGGATGACTGCTGAAAGGGACTTTCTGAGGCTCAGCAGAACCAGACTTTTACAGGAACACATTCATCTGCTCCACAGGCGCACAGCTCCGAACCAAGAGTGTGAAATAAAAAAAAAAAATCCCGAAGTAAAACAACACCAGAGATAAAAAAGCTACTCCCTTCCGGTGTTTGCTCTGCTATAAGGGCGTTCAGAGGCCTGAACGGAGCCTGTGAGTCACAGAGCCCTGCTGCTCCTCAGGCACAGTCTCTTTCAAGTCCAGACACACAGCGTGGCTGCAGCTTCACCCTGCGCGGTTACCCCCACACCCTGCCCGCACCCCTGACACCCCACTCCTCCCAGTTCCCACTGGTGTAACAGTGTGGGAGGAGTGGGAGAAGCCACAGCGAGCGCCAGTAAAATGTCGACGCCCCTACTGTCGGACAGAAGAACCAGCGTGAGGTGAGCGAGAACCAAAAATAAGAGGAAAAAAGTAAAAAAAAACAACAACACAAAAAGCCCCAAAAAAGAAAAATGCATCATGTTTACTCTATTCACAGGGCCCAGCCTGGAAGAGCAGGGATGCAAGGGGCCAAAACAAATCCCGACTTGTGAAAACGGTCAGCCTGCGCTGGTAGAGATACATGATGGCACCGGCAAAAAATAAAAGATAAATAAATAAGAAGAAAAACGACAGCCTCAGGCTCGGGTACAATCCCCTCTGGGACTGCAGGTGGAAGTTCCTCTCTTTCCGGGGGAGCCCTGCTCGTCCCTGGGGGGAGGGGCTCCGTGTGTTTTCAAAGAGCCCTCACAGCTGTGGCTGCTAAGGTAACGCGCCGCCCTTCATCCAGGGCTCCGCCTCCACACTGAACGCGCCCCCGCGTAGTGCCTGTGTAGTGGGCACTGCACCCCTGATACCCCACTCCTCCCAGACACAGGACCCAGTTCCCTTGGGGGCTGGGGGGCAGACGCACTCTCACCTTCCTCTGCCGGTAGTGGTGCGAGCCGTGCTTGTCCTGCGAGGGCGAGGTGGAGCTGCTGCGGGTGTGACAGAAGGAGCCGCCCGTGCTGCCCCCTGCTGGCCTGGTCTTCTTCTGCACGCCAGAGCGAGAGGCAACAGTGTGAGCACAGCGGAGCGCCGCAGTCCGCACCAGTACAGCACGAGGGCAGCGCAGGTCGGCGGGGACAAACTCACCATCTTGCTGTAGTGGTATTTGCAATATCCACAGTACTTGACATTGTCAGCCTCCGGCCCCTCCTCCTCACACAGCAGCCCGGCCATCTGGGCGCTGAAACAGACAGGCAGTGAGCGGAGGGGGCAGAGCGACAGGTACAATTTTGACGCTCTGGGTGCCTGGCACAGGCACCCACATGCCAAGCCACTGCACACTGAGATTAGCAAGCACACATTAACCCTTCCCTCTCCAGCTGCCCACTCCTCTATTGTCAGACACCCGTCTCGTGCCAGGTGGCGGCCCACCCTGCTCCCTCTTGCGCCAGGCGGCGGTCCACCCCGCTCCCTCACCGGGCGGCGTCCCACCCCGCTCCCTCACCAGGTGGCGTCCCACCCCGCTCCCTCACCAGGTGACGTGGAACGCCTGCCGACAGCCCTGCCTGTTACAGGTCATGCAGGCCCCCGAGGCAGCCTTGCTCTCGCGCCCGTGGTCCTCACAGATGTAGCAGGTCTGCAGGAGAGAGAGAGAGATGCCCGCTGAACCAAGCAGGAACTGAGCGCACAGAGAAGCCCAGCTCTGCACCAGCGCATTACTGGAGAGGCCGTCTTGCCGCCTGCTGCCGGAAATAGACACTCCCTGGCAGCCATGAGGAAGAAACACAGATCCCGCTCCTGTGCCAGGGAACACTGATCTGTCTAAACTGGAAGCACCAGTGCGGGGCTCTGACAGAGCATGCTCAGTCTTGCCAGCCCAATACTGCCTCTTGAACTGAACAGAGACGAAACAGCAGACAGGGAGCCACCACAGAGATGTCTTACATCTGGTTTTCATGTTGGTTCAGGAGCTCAATGTATTTGGCAACATTTCTAATCATCCATTTATTTCCAGCTTAGAGGGTCACAGTGAGCCCAACCTGGCGGGCAATGGGCACAAGCAGGGTATACGCTAGACAAGATGCCAATCCAGTGCATGAAACACACACATAATGGGGACAGTTCAGAAACAACACTTAGCCTGGACAGCATGTCTTTAAACTGTGAGAGAAGACCCATCTACTGCCCTGTGATGGACAATACTTGTGCTAATGAACTGAAAAGGGAGGTGTGGCTGAGAGACACCCCACACAGCAGGGGGGGGGGGTTTGTGCATCGGGGTACCTTGTTGTATCTCTCGTGGGGGACGAACTGCAGCACTATGGGCTCCATGGTCAGCACGTTCGCAAACTGCACCTCTGGGATGTACAGGGCACACACCACGTGCGCCCACCCTGCAGGGACACAGACACCCGGATGAAAAACTCGTGGCAAACAACTGGGCCAACCGACGAGACAACACACTTTTTCCTCCTCCTACGCCTCCTCTTCATCAGCAGTTTCAGAACACAGTCAGCTTCCCTTCCCAAAATACAAACCAGTAGTTCTAAGTGATTCTGAATGCTAATCAGTGTAAATTACAAGATAATTAGCAATGAAAGTGGTTAAATCAGAGCTCTTCCCCTGCAGACAGGCCTCACTCTATTAGCACCAGGCTGTGCTCTGGAATATCCCCCATCTCCACCTCCACAGTGAGGCTTGCTGATCTTTTCCATGTATCAGTAATTTCTCTGCTTAAAAGAAACCCTCCTCTTGTAAGAACTAGATATGAAAGTTCCACTTTGATTCACATGTGCCAGTAATTTATTGAAATACTATATTTAACACAAACAATCTGTGCCTCTTTGAGAGGTGCTATTAGCACAGAGAGAGCTATTAATCATCATTTGTGCTTTTCAACTACCCCTCTTGGAAGTGGAAAGTTAATACTGGATAATACAGGTAACTATCTGTACTTCAGAGAGAAAAATATTTCACTTGGCCAGTGCCCCTGCCCTGAACAGGACCTGCACAGCTGGAGAGCTGGTGCTCACTGAAGTGGCTGTGGAGCAGCCAATTAGAGACATTTAGAGAACGACTGGAAGGAAAGACAGTAACAGAGAATAAAAAAACTCCACTGGACCCTCAGTACAGGTGAAGAGATATTTCACTGCACAGCTCCGCCGGGGAGACAGCGCTGCTGGTGTCATGTGACAGGGGGTTACAGCATCTGTTGCTAGGTGACATTCATCATTGTATTAAAAAAAAAACTGCTGCAGAGTTTTATGAACTTGAAAACATACCATAAACAGCAGCCATGTACACCTCAATGCTCCAGGGCCACAGTGTCTTCAGGTTTATATAATTAATTGAACCAATTAACCAATTGAACCACTTGGAGCAATAAAATACACACTTCTGAAGGGAGGAACTCAGAGGTCAGAGTGACATGGTGAGTCCTCTGCCCCCTGCCAGGATCAGAGCCCAAGGGGAGAGGAGAAAGGGGCTACAGCCCCTCTCAGGAGACCCCAGCCACCTCACCTCCATTGTCTGTCCTCTTCAGGGCACCATCTTTGTGAGGGCAGAGCTCGCATCGCTGAAACAGCAAAAGAACAAACAGACAGTGACTTCCCTCTCGCTAATAACACTGCTGGGCACCTCATGGGGAAACGCGTCAGACTGCTGCAAACTCCTGCTTCATCCATTCTACGTTTTATCAGCTACGGCTCTCATTCATAAGTCAACACTGGGTCCTGGTTATATCAGACTTCCTTCCTGAACTTAAGGACATTTTCAGTGCAGAAGAACGTACAGTACTTTGGCACCATCAAGCTTCATTGGGAAATCCATGAATCCAGTGCGGATCATAGCACAGGAGGAAAGAAAGTAAGGAGGTGTATGCAGGCTGTGTTGCCATCTCACCGCTGTGAACCTGCCTCACTGTTATGTTTCTGAGAAGCTCTCCAGTCTCCTCCTGTACCCGGCAGCCCTGCTGACTCAGTAATGCATGACAACCCCAGCTAAAAACAGCACAGAAAGATCTCATTGTCATGACCACATGCTTCTCCTTCTAACTTTTGAGAAAGGCCAGCCCTGCACTACAGCTTCAGGAGCCTGTCTGTGGAATGCAGCTGGAGATTCTCACTGACACTCAGCTCACAGGGGTAACAAGTCCTGGTACCCCTTCATACACTGCGGGTTGCTGTTGCCCTCTGGGTACTTTGCTCAAGACTACAGGGGGGATTTGAACCCACAACCCCCAGTCAGGAGTTCAGAGCCTGACCAGTGGTTCACACAGCTCTCTGGAGAAACAGCCATGCACAATGGAGACAGAGAAACAGTTACAAACTAAGAGCAAAATCTCTCGGCTTGGGGCAGAGTGTCTCTCAAGCCTTGCCGAGCAGCACAGGTACATGGGAGGGCGACAAACGCAGCTACACGTAGCTCTGAGCTAATCTCAGCGGCCACAACATCCTCTCCACTCAGCCGAGCCCTACTTCGAGCTCTTCCTGTTCTTCACAGCAGACACACATCAGAGAGACAGGAAAGTGCTGAGAAAGAGAGAGCAGCCCCCCTCTGTGTGAGTCACACGCAGTCAGGGAGACGGGTTGCCCCCCTCGCTGTGCTGCCACTGCCCTACCTGCTCACACACAGAAGAGCTCCCCACACACGCAAATACCCTCAACACAGAGAGAGGACAGCAAGCACAAACACAGATGACAGAGCCATGAACTGCACAGACAGACTATATACTGAAGGCCCTGCTACCTACAGTCTGTATATGCTGGCAGCAGTACAATACAGACAGCAGATACACAGAGATAAAGGTGTGCTTGGGCTTTTACTTTTACTGCAACACTTTCAGCTCCTCTGACTGAACAAGAAGCCCAGCAATAAGAACACAGACTGAACTGTTTTTCTCCTTGTGTAAAGATTTGAGTGCTTCACAGGAGCAGACTGTCCTTCTGCTCCCCCAGCTGCTGTGACTCACAAGGACTACGACTCCGAACACGGGCGGCGATAACGCCAGCGGCCGGACTCACCACTCGGGCGGCTCTCTCCTGGGACTCACACTTGCGGCAGAACCAGGGTCCAGTGGGCACCTGGACGATCCCATAGCAGGCTGCAAGACAGGGAGACAGGGTCACACATGCACAGGCCCTCATACTCGCACACAGGGACACAGTCGCTGCCGGCGCTCTGCGAGACTCTCTGCTGCCCGCCTGGCGCAGACTGGCACAGGGCAGGCGTCGGGGGGGAGCAGAGTGCAGCCGGGGAACATACCAGCCCCACGGCTCGGCCACGGGGAGCACACCGCGGGGCTGGCCTCCCTCCCGGATTCCCGGATCTCAAGCACTCCGACAGCAGGTGCGGCCGGTAACAATTCGAACTGCTGAGCAAAGCAGCTTCCACACCTGCTGCTGCTACAACAAGCCTCTGTTATGACAAGTGCTGCTGCCTGTGCCCCGCGCCAGTTCGCCCAGCTGCGGCCCCTTTGTCTCCACTGGTACCAGGGCCCAGGTGAGGGCTGCTGGGGGGGCAGCTGCTCCACACACAGCACGCTCCAGCCCCGCTGAGAGCATCGCCACGACAGCAGCGCCCGAGGCCTGCGGACCCCCGGGCTGTGCGCAGTACTGTGGCAGCTTCTCCTGCCAAGACCACACTGGGCAAACGCACAGGGCAGGCCTCTGCATCAGGGCACCAGTGCAACATCACAGCTGCCATCGTGGGTCCTGTCTGTCTTTCACTCCTGAAGTGGAGGTTGCCTGAGGTCCGTGTGCCACAGGGAGACCATGAGCAGATGGGAAGTAAAACCCGGTGCGATTTTCCTGGCCACACACTGAGGCCCTGTACAGCTGCTGCAGGCACTGGAACAGGATCCACAGAGCAGTGCGATCCACTCCGGGTTTTAGGAGCTGCTGGCAGATGTACACGAGGGAGCTTCAGGGATAGTACTTAAGAGTAAATACACGGGGGAAAGTGTACAGCCTTAAAATGGCTATCTCACACACATCTGCTGCTCGGCTTCACCCCGGAGTTCGGGAGAGGGATCACACTGCACTGTTGAGGGAGTCTTCCCATGGGAAAGTTTAAAGCTACAGGAGTGAGATTCTCCCTGACGCCCCGGGGGGGGGGGTGTCCGTTTCTAAAGGGAATCTGCGTCACTACCCCCCCCCGAGACACCTTGCCCCAGCTAATGCCCCGCGCCTGTCCTGAAGGGCGGAGCTAGCTGTCAGCAAACAAACTGTTTACCCGAGGTGACCCTGCCGTAAGCTGTCGCACAGCAGCGCTTACCCGCGGCCTCCGAGGCCCGGCTGGGCAGCGGACGGGCCTGCTGAGAGCCGACAGTGCCGGGACACGGGTCCAGGAGAGAACACGCACGACGCGCTCGCAGCGGCACGTAAACAGTCCGGCAGGAACAATGATTGTTTCCGCGCTGCGCGGTAGCGGCAGGACAGCCGGCGCGCCCCCCCGGTAGCTCACGGGCAACAGTTCGTCTTTACAAGGGCGCTGCGGTGTGCAGGGGGCGGCGAGCCTTCGCGGATCGCCATGATCCCGCTCAGCTGACGACCACAACAAACAACGGCCGGCAAGGCAGAGACCCGCTCCAGCCCGTACACAGGCACAGACGCGCCGGCTCTGCGGCCACCGCCATCAAACTCGCACGCAGAAGACAACACAGCGGCGCTGAGCTGACCCCGGCGGCACTCGTCTCTAGCCGAGCACTACGGCAGTGTTCCAACATCAACATCACTGTGAGCGCAGGCGAGCAGGACAGCGGCCGCGCACACCGTCGGTAATTAAAGCACAGCTGGCGTAAACACGACACACACACACACACAACACCTCAGACACGGTATCGTGATTCATTACCCTGATGCACGGCCACAGTGCACCCGTGCCCGTCGCAGTACACCAGCGGGTTTTCTGCCCAGCCCCTCTCGTCTGAGCACACACAGCAGCCTCCCACCATCTCCCGCATACTGTTCCCATACGGTTCCGTCCGGACGGGTCTCTACAGCTCAGCTGCGCCGGGGAGCCTGGAATCCCCTGAAGCACTCAGCGCTGCCAGCATTGTGGGCTCCTCAGTGGCCCGGCGGTCCGGTCCTGGCGGCGCAGGGCAGTGAGACAGAACGATGTTGTCTTTCTCGCAGCGCGCGCAGACTCCGTCGGTGCAGGAATCCGCGCGCGCGCGCGCGCTGGCGCACGGCTCGGCGGGCACGCGCCGCGAGCCAGGCGCCCCGAGTTTCACCCGCGGGCGAGAGTGCAGCGTGCTCGCCTATCAAAATAACAGGTTTGTGTTGAGCTCAAGAGAGAAGTTTTAAAAAGGGCAAATTGGAAACTCCCTTCACCGAACAAATGATCAGATTCAAAGAGATTTACTGGCATAGAAATCAGTTACCAGAACAGCAACATTTAGCAAAACATCCCAGACTATAACATTATTATTATTAAATCAGTTGGATGCTATCGGTGGTGGAGGGGATCCCCATTACCTGTAAAGCGCTTTGAGTGGGGTATCCAGGAAAGTGCCATATAAGTGTAAGCAATTATTATTATTATTATTATTAAATACTTATTATAAATTATAATAAATATTATTAAATAATCATATATAATTATTAAACAATAATTGCTGAGCTGTAGCTCTAGTGTGATTCCTCCCCCAGCAGCCTGCAGGACAGCTGTTCTGTTTCTGCCAGCTCTGGGGTTCTGTATAGATAAGCTATACTAAACATTTTGCTTCAAGCATTACACTAAATAATTTTACTGGTGCCTTTTAACCACATTGAGTTGCCGGGGGTATTACTACAAACACACTGAAAGCCGGTCGCACACACGAGGGGAACTTGAACAGCCAGAGACGGGCCGCCTTCGACACAGAACTCCGTTCAGCGCCGGGACTCGCGCGCTTCGCCCCGGACTCCCCGCTCCGGGCTCTGGATCGGCGGCAGCGCAGCAGGAGTCGGGCTGAACGACCGGAGAAGCTCCCCGGCTGCAAGGTGGCCGCTGTGCCTGTTTTCCTGTCGGAAGGGAATCAAACTTTCCTGTTCCTGCGCGGCCCGCGCATGCTCCTGCAGCCGCCCGCGTGTCAGGTGTGCTGGCCGTGCCGTCACCTGGGCGAGGACAGGTGCGCTCAAGTTACAGTTTCGCGTGACGTGAAGTTGTGTTTTCGCCCCGCCGGTGCTCTAGTGCTCGGAGGCGGGTTTCCTTTCCCAGCTCCCCGTCGTCTACCGCCCTCTGTTCAGAAGCGCAGCGGCGGCTCTTGGGCTCTCCAAGCAGACTGGGGCCCGCAACACGCGCGCGTGCGGGAGACGCGCGGCTGTGCCGGGGCGGCTCGTGCACCTGTCCGCGAGCTGGTCGGCCAGGTGACGCTGTGAGAAGGTGTACAGGCTCAGTGACCACAGCCTGGCCTTAGAAACTGGACACAGGCAGACCTGGCTGCCCAGAGAGGACAGGCTGTGCTCCCACTGCCAGCGGGGAGAAATAGAGACAGAGGTGCACTTCCTACTGTGACAGATACTCTGGGATTAGAGAAACATTCTTCCCCAAATTCAGAAATCTAATCCCAGAGTTCCCACACCTGCCAGAATCACAACAGGTCCCAATCCTACTGGGAGAGGGAGGAGGGAACTCTGTTGAACTGGCAGCCCAGTATGTGATCTCCTGTCACAGCCTGAGGAACAGTGAGCCTGTCTCCCAATAATGCTCAATATGTTTACAGTACATGTAAATATTTTCTGATATGTCTCTGTTGTAAATGTCTGTAATAGGTCTGTAGATTTTATTTTACTTTTATTTTGTGTTTTGTTCCATGTTAAATTAATTATTTTTTATTTGCTTTGGCAACACTGATTGTACCCATCGGTCATGCTAATAAACCACCTTGAATTGAATTGAACTGAGGTGCGACGCGTCAGCTTCCGTCCAGCTTCTCGTCGCGGCTCGCCGGGAGCAGGTCAAAGCGCTCACTGCTGGAGACTGATTTTCTGGACCGTGAGAAACATTTTATTGGCTTCGCTTCATACATTAGGTATTGTGTGCAAATGAATTAAATAAGTCTAGTCCTACTTTGGGGGCTAATTCGAATGACCCGCTTCGTTGCTGGCGATGTCGCCGTGATTAGTCCCGCTCCGCAGCCCAGGATCGGTACCAGCCGCTCCGCCAGCCCGCACGGGGCCCCGGCGGTCCTGCCCGGTGAGCGAGCGGGGGAGAGTGCCGGCGGCGGACTGAGCCGCAGGGCCGCAGAGCCCCGCCGGGATCGTGCTGGCGCGTCCTTGGGTTCAAGGCGGTTAAATTAACAACTACACCCCCCCCCCCCGCTGCAGTCCGCAGGCACCGCGCGTATAGAATATAATAATAATAATAATGCTTACACTTATATAGCGCTTTTACAGGTAATGGGGATCCCGTCCACCACCACCAGTGTGCAGACCTCACGATGCGACGGCAGCCATAGTGCGCCAGAACGCTCCCCACACACCAGCTATTAGTGGGGAGGAGAGCAGAGTAATGAAGCCAGTTCAGAGATGGGGATTATTAGGAGGCCATGATTGGTATGGGCCAATGGGAAATTTGGCCAGGACGCCGGGGTTACACCCCTACTCTTTTTGAGAAACGCCCTGGGATTTTTAATGCCCACAGAGAGTCAGGACCTCGGTTTTATGTCTTATCTGAAGTACAGCGCTTGTTTACAGTATAGTGTCCTCGTCACTATACTGGGGCATTAGGACCCCCATGGACTGCAGGGTGAGCGCCCCCTGCTGGCCCCACTAACACCTCTTCCAGCAGCAGCTTCAGCTTTCCCCAGGAGTCTCCCATCCAGGTACTGACCAGGCTCACATCTGCTGAGCTCCAGTGGACTGCCAGTTGTGAGCTGCAGAGTAATATGGCTCAGGCACAATGCGTATAGAAAATTCAATTCAATTCAATTCAGGGTGCTTTATTAGCATGACCGATGGGTACAATCAATGTTGCCAAAGCAAATGAAAGTAATGATATTTACATTAAACAAAACAAAAAATAGAAGTAAAATAAAATCTACAGACATATTACAGACATTTACAACAGAGACATATTATAAAATATTGACATATTCTGTAGGCGGTTGGAGCATTATTGGGAGACAGACTCACTGTTCCTCAGGCTGTGACAGGAGATCACATACTGGGCTGCCAGATCAACTGAGTTCCCTGCTCCCTCTCCCAGTAGGATTGGGATCCGTTGTGATTCTGGCAGGTGTGGGAACTCTGGGATTAGATGTGTAAATTTGGGGAAGAATGTTTCTCTAATACCAGAGTATCATAGTGCAGTAGGAAGAGCACCTCTGTCTCTATTTCTCCCCGCTGGCAGTGGGAGCACAGCCTGTCCTCTCTGGGCAGCCAGGTCTGCCTGTGTCCAGTGTGTGTGTCCAGGCTGTGGTCACTGAGCCTGTCCTCTCTGGGCAGCCAGGTCTGCCTGTGTCGCCCAGTTTCTATTGCTAGGCTGTGGTCACTGAGCCTGTACTTCGTCAGGGTCTGTTTCTGTTTGTTGTTTCTTATTTTGGTCAAATATTCAGCTAGTGTGTATAGTCTGTTTAGGGTTCTGTAGCAGTTTATGTTGTGTTTGTGTGTGTGTGTCCCAGTGTGTGAGATATGTGGTTGAGTCTGGGTTGTGGTGCTCTAGCAGTGCTGTCCTGATGCTGGTTAGTGTCGGTGTGGCTCAGGTCAGTGAGCCTCAGGACCAGCTGGCTCAGGGGGCTCTGTTTTGGGCTCAGCTCTTGAATCCGCAGGGCTTTGTGGTCCGCAGGAATTTTGGTCGCTGTTTTTTAGGTGTAGCCAATACTTTAATATTCTTTTCTGTATGTTTATCAATAGTGGGTACTGGCCTAATTCGGCCCTGCACCCGTTGTTAGGTGTTTTTCTCTGCACACGGAGGATGTTTCTACAGATCTCGATGTGCAGAGTTTCTGTGGGATGTTTGTCCCATTGAGTGTAATCCTGGTCTGTGAGGGGACCCCACACTTCACTGCCGTATAGGGCAATGGGTTGGATTACATTTTGAAATATTTGGAGCCAGATTCTTGTTGGTGGGTTGATGTTGAAGAGCCTCCTTCTTATTGCTTAGAAAGCCCTGAGTGCCTTCTCCCTCAGTGCCTTCACTGCCAGGTCAAAACTCCCAGAAGAGCTGATGGTGAGACCGAGATATGTGTAGCTGGATGTGTGCTCCAATGTGTTGTTGTTCAGTGTGAATTTGTACCTGTTTCCCTGAGGTCTGGCTTTCTTCTGGAAAACCATAACTCTGGTCTTGTCCAGATTGACTGTCAGTGCCCAGGTCTGACAGTACTGCTCCAGCAGTGCCAGGTTCTGCTGCAGCCCCTGTTCTGTGGGCGACAGCAGGACCAGGTCATCTGCATAGAGCAGGAACTTGATTTCTGTGTCGTGTAGTGTGAGACCAGGAGCTGCAGACTGCTCCAACATTCCTGCTAATTCGTTGATATAGATATTGAACAGTGTTGGGCCCAGGCTGCAGCCCTGTCTCACCCCAAGGCCTTGGGTGAAGAATTTAGTCCTTTTGTTTCCAATTTTCACTGCACATTTGCTCTCTGAATACATTGATTTAATTATGCCGTACACTTTGCCCCCTATGCCACTTTGGAGTAGTTTGTTAAACAATCTTTCATGTCAAATCGAGTCAAATGCTTTTTTGAAATCGACAAAGCAGGCAAAAATTTTACCTTTGTGTTTTTGGTGGACGTGTTTGTCTATCAGTGTGTGTAGGGTGTAAATGTGATCAGATGTGCGGTGATCTGGTAAGAAGCCAATCTGACTCTTGCTCAGGACATTATGTTCAGTAAGGAAGGCCAGTATTCATGTCTTTAGGATACTGCAGAATACCTTCCCCAGGTTACTGTTCACACAGATGCCCCGGTAGTTGTTGGGATTGAGTCTATCTCCACTCTGATAGATGGGCGTGATCAGTCCTTGGTTCCAGGCCTCGGGGAAACATCCAGCTGTCATGATGAGATTGAGGAGTTTGAGCAGGGCTTGTTGCAACTTTGGGCTGCTGTATCTCAGTATCTCATTTATGACTCCATCATGGCCACAGGCTTTGCGTGGTCTGAGGGCCTGGAGTTTGTCCAGTAGCTCCTGCTCAGTGATTGGGGAGTCTAATGGGGTTTTGGTTGTCTTTGATAGCCAATTCCAAAATTTTGAGTTTTTCATAAATGGTGTTTTGGTCTGATTGATTTGTATTTGGGAGCTTTTCATAGAGATTTTCAAAGTATGTTTGCCAGATTGTTCCATTCTGGATGGCCAATTCTTCTGGGTTTGATTTGTTTAAATTGTTCCACTTCTCCCAGAAACAGTTCCGATTTAGTGACTCCTCAATTTCTGCAAGTTGTTTGTTTATGTATGTGTTTCTTTTCTTTTTCAGCGTGTGTTTGTAAAGTTTTACCATGTCATAGTATCTGAGGCGCAGATCTGTGTTGTGTGGTTGTCTGTGTTTTTCATTTGAGACTTTTCGTAGTGCATTTCTGATGTTTTTGCACTCCGTATCAAACCACTTTTCTTTTGCTTTTGTTTTTTTGGTAGTTTTTTTATTTAGTTGTTTTTAACTTAGATTTTGATGCTAGTTTGTGGAATAGGCGACTTAGTTTTTGTGTGGCTAAGTTTATGCCTAATTTGTTGGTTTGATACGGAGTGTTTAGGAATGTGTCCAACAGTGTCTGAATTTTGTCATCGCCCAGTGCAGTTTTGTTTCTGTCTAGGCTGTCTGTGTCCCATCTGTACGCCTGGTTGGGGTCATACAGCTTGCTGGGCTGTGTCAGTGTGTCTCTGTGCTGGTGTGCTCTCTTCATGTAGAGTGTGATCTGGCTGTGGTCAGAGAGGGGACTTTGTGGCCTGACAGTGAAGGCATTGATACAGGAGGGGTCCAGGTCGGTGATGGCGTAGTCCACCACACTGCTGCCCAGGGCTTAGCTGTAGGTGAACCTGCCTAGAGAGTCCCCTCTAGTCCTGCCGTTGACGATGTATAGGCCCAGCCCTTGACAGAGCTGGAGCAGCTCGCGCCCGATGCTGTTGACTGTGGTGTCGTGGCTGCACCTGTGTGAGGTGACCGGTGTGTGGTACAGAGGGGATTGTCCGAATATGTGAGTGTTTCCCTGTTTGCTGGTGTAGTCTGCCAGTGTGCCTGTTCGTGCATTGAGGTCACCACAGAGCAGCTTATAAAGTCATCTTATGAAGCCAGTTCAGAGTTGGGGATTATTAGGAGGCCATGATGGGTAAAGGCCATGGGGAAATTTGGCCAAGACACAGGGGTAACACCCCTATTCTCTTTGAGAAATGCCCTGGGATTTTTAGTAATGACAGAGAGTCAGCACCTCAGTTTTACATCTCATCCATGAGAAAGCACCTTTTTACAGTACAGTGTCCCTGTCACTTTATATAAAACTGAGGTGCTGAAAGGCCAGGGGTCACCCACACAGCACCCCCTCCTGGCCCCACTAAGACCTCTTACAGCAGCAGCCTCAGCTTTCCCAGGAGTCCAGATACTGACCAGGCTCACACCTGCTGGGCTCCAGTGGGCTGCCGGCTGTGAGCCGCAGGGTGACAGAGCTGCTGGCTACAAAAGCTGTTAATGTATCAAACCAAATTATTCATAATCGATGCTAATGCACTTATGAGGATATTTTTAATGCAGCATAATTAAACATGTCTCATTTGTCATGGTTGTGGTTCCTCACAACGATGGTTTCAAAGTGTAGGCCCAAATCCTTTTCAGAGTACCCGCACTTTACCGTCATACGGTCAGTGTAATTCTAATCCACTCGGAGGTAATTACAAAGATCACCGGTAGGTGGCACTCGTACACCTTCCTGCTCCACGATTATCGTCCTGCGCCGGAGGGAGACACCAGGACGCAAACCGGCCGGTGGTGAGCGGACTAACCGCTGGAATTCACTTCATCTCCACAGAAAACACGTTCCTTCCTTTAGGCCACCGCGGCATGTGTTGCTGGGTTTTTTTTTTTTGCTAATGTATATTTTGTTAGTTTGTTAAAAATTCAGACTAGTCCGTTTTGTGGAGGTTGTTTTTTAGGCTGCGTAGCACGAATTACCTGAAGAGAAGAAATGGGGAGAGCAGAAGGAATAGTTCTTTCTTTCTTACGATGTTATAAATACCCAGAATTAGCATTTAGATCTTTTCCATGGTTCACCTGAATGTTGCATTTGGTAGCATTCATATTCACAAAGGAATCATGAACATGTACGGTAGTTTCTTGTTTTTGCAACATGACCTGAAAACAATGGAAATATTGATAACATACTCCATTGCTCTTAATTGGTAAACTCTAATAAAACAAGCCATTTCTGATGTTGTCAGTCTTTATGGCTGTTTCTGTACTCGATTGGTCGCCAGTCACGGCCAGGTGTCGATTGTGGATTCCCAGTCCAATCTGAGATTCTCTATGACTGCACAGCATACAACAAGACGACGCAGCCATCAGCGGCTTATCGGCACCGACAGGGAGCCCGTGGAACCGCGACCCGCAGCGCCGCCTGTCGGTGGCGAGGGGACCTGCAGGCGCGTGGCCGCATACGTGCAGAACGCGGCCGAAGAGGCTGGCTGGAGGGGGGGCAGGAGGAGGGCGGGGCCGCTGGTTTTGCTCAGCAGATGCTGCAGCTTCAGCCCGGCGCTGCCTCTCGCCACACACACAGGACCGGGCCGCTCTCACAGGGGTGCCCTCCAGCCGGTGTAGTCCTGTCCCGCAGGGGTCGGGCGGGGTCACGAATGATCAAGTTGTCTATATAATAATATATTATTACATATACACTGTAGTACTTATTTGTGCAATAATAGTTTCCACCCTCTGAAATCTTTGCACCGCTCTCGCCCTGCTCCTCTCGGCCCGACACCGGTTCCCCGCCCGGCCTGTCCGCCGGGAGCCGGGCTTCCCGTCCGGGCTTCCGCCAAACTGAGTAACCGGGACCCGTGGAGGCCTCATCCGCTCTCGACTCCCCCAGCTCCGGGCGGGCAACTGTTCCTCTGTCTTACAGTTTAAAGACCGTGCAACGAAGTGAACAAATAAAAAGGATTTAAAAGTCGTTACTATTCTCTTTCAGAAGCAGCCTCGGCTGTAGCAGAAGACAGCTACGTCTGAGTGCAGTTCTTTGGGGGATAATAAGAGGCGTCTCTATTAGACGTTTACTCACATTTTCAATTAGTTTAAATGTCTGCTCTATTATTAGAAAAAAAATATTATATGTAACTGTAAAAAAGAAATCACAAATTATTATTGACCAAGTCTACGCCGACGGAGGGGATTTCTGAGGTTCGCCTGTCCAAGAGTTAAGTGTTCAGCTACAGAAAAAAAGCCTTTTAAATAAGACTCGATAAATCCTTCTTCAAACAGCGGCCCCTGAAATCGGCCGCGGGGCGGAGGTGTAAATGTGTTGATCAAGCGGGGTAACAGCCCGGCGGAGACAGCGAGACCCGGCGTGTTCCGTTTCACCCTCAGCTCCCAGACGTGCTTCTCCTGTAAGAGCTGTGTGCCTGTACATCTCGGCAAAAACACCACACAACGGGGATTCACTTATATTGTAGTATCATAAGAAGTCGATAACTATGCTATTAAAAAAAAGTTATTTATGTTTCAACCAATATTGTAGTATGGACTTGACAGATATATGGCAACAAAACATATACATATATTTCTGAATTATTTTAATCCGACCCGTTTAACACCACAAAGTGAGAATGGGAATGCTAGGTTTGGGCGGGACAGAACCCTGAACTAGCTGAGATTTAACCCGTCTGCCCCGGGAATCCGGGAGTTTCTGCGGAGTGAGAAAATCTGTAATATTATCAAAGGATCAAGCCGTCATGTTCATGTCTAAGATTAATTTCCATCTTGTACTTCCCAGTCCAACCGTCTGCTTAAGAACCTGTTGTCATTTGTATTACGCCTATTGTTTGTGCAGAGGCTGAACGACTTCGCTCAGGAAGAACCTTGGGCACAAACCGCCAGTCAAATACAATTAAATACAATGGAATCTACCAGAAACAGATGAAGGAAATTATGGAGTGGCACGATCTTAATTAACACGTAAACACCGTAAAGTTCCCAGGCTCGCTGCCTTTAGAGACGGCTGCAGTGTTTTGAGACACTGAGACAGTAGCAACGCAGTGTGACCCGCCGTGTTTACATCTGATCAAGGACGAAGCCGGGAAATATTACAACCGAGTCACAGCGCCGATGAGTTCTCGCTTCAGTGATGACAATAACGCGAAAAAACTTGGTTTTCAAAACACACGACACAATGAGCACTGAAGCTTTTGTGATTAAACTATGCTACACATTCTACGTTTGTAAATAGACAAGTTCAATAGACAATCCACAGCCAAAAAGTCTAAGAAGGCCGAGACCTACCGCTGTTCAGAACTGGATTCATAAACAGGGCGTTTATTTGGAAGTAAAGCACAGAAAATCCCTTAAAGAAATAATTTTATGAACTCTGTTTGACAGAGCATTTAAAACCAACTAAAATTTAAAAATCGATTTTCTCTCATTTAAAAGCTATGCCGAAATTATACGAAGGGCCGTGGAACTAAGTTGCCATGAAGACTCTGTCCTGCGATTCTCCTACAGAAGCTTCTTCGGTTGTGAAGGGCCGAACCCCACTCGAGCTGAGCGGGACTTCTCCACGCAGAGCCGAAGCGCACTGCTTCCCGTGGAACAGGGCCTACCGAGGAGCTCGTAAATAGCATGTTTTCGTGCCCAAGCAACACATGTCACCACTCCCCTCTCAAGTCTAATTAGTTCAATTAAGTAGAAGCTGAACCGACGTGTTTTACTGCGAAAATCCTCACGGAGTGATCGAATAGACGTGTCAAACACGATCACCTGGGCTGCTGCTCCGGGAGGAGACGAGCCCGGCAGACCGTCCCCACTGCTCGGGCCTCTGGCCTCCGGGAGCCTCGCTCTTCCCTGGGTCCGCTTCTCCCTGCAGCCTGAAGGTACAGGCACTTGGGTCGACATCCCTGTGTTAAATTGAAGAACAGTGCTAAACCAAATCTTCAATAAGACACCCAAAAATATTAATTGGTGTTCTTAGAGTTAATTTATTTGAATTGTATATTATTATTATTATTATTATTATTATTATTATTATTATTATTATTATATAGCGTTTTGTGTTCCTTGAGCAACTATATTTATTTTTATTCTGTATTATTTACGAGATGGGATGTTTGTCGAAATTAACATGAACCACACATATTTGTTCCTGGCTTTGTAACGTCGTGAAATTATTTTTCACTAAAGCTTTGGCAGATTTAAATAACAACAACGCACCAGCTGAAATTAGTTTTGTTTAAAGTTTTTTTTTTCTTTTAATGCTCCAAATGCGCGTTTGATTTCAAAACGTGTTTTATAGCGGAGCGCCGGATACTTCATCCCAGCTGAGGGCGAGCAACACAATTGCTAAAACCCTCGTTATTTTCTTTTATTTTTAACCCTTTTCTACAAAATTCGTGAAAAGACGATTACAGCATCTACTCCCGCTACAATTGTAATTATATGTTCGACCCTCAAAAATAAAAACGATTAAAGAAGAAGTCCACAACACGTAAAAAAAGATTTCGCTTTTTCTGCTGTCTCGGAGACAAAGAGACCCAACATGGCGACTGCACACAGCACAAGAGTAACTGCTGCGCACCCGAGAACATCGTTTGCTGATAACATGCTTGGTGCAGATGTGTATCACAGGCGAGACTGCTGCACCCGCGTCGTCGAGAATGGTTTTTAACTACGAAGTAAATAGATTCGCGTTTTCGATCACGCGTTTTCGTGATTTCGGCTGTGTAAAAAGACGGGGGGACTGTCGTCTACCGCAGCCAGAGTCATACAGCCGAGAGCTCCAACCCCAGGTGTGAGGTTACGCAGATACCCCGTTGTCTGTATGTCAGAAATCGAGAAAATCTGCACGGAAAATCTACAGAGAAACTCGAAAACAAAGAGAAAGCTCTTCCGTTTTCCTTAACGCCTAGCCGCAGAGATCAGAGTTCTGTAAAAGAAAGCGGACAACATATTAATTCCACTGCTGTTTCTGTAATTAGGCCTGATAATTGTTTTAAATTCACTCTAAAATGTATTTGCAACAATAACGGATCAAACGGGGACAAACGCATACCATTTTTTCTGGCGGAAAACTGTACCTCACATAGTGTAATCGAGCAAAACGGCACTGTGACATTGTGGTCCACGGAACGAATATTGACTGTGTTCGGAAACAAAAGGTGTTGTAGGCTACAAAACAAATAATATATGCCTTATCCATTGTGCAACAGAATATGCACTTATACGTAAGTCATCTCTATAGTTTATTACCGCGGGACGTTTGTTCAATTATAAAAAAATATACAAATTCTTCCAGTTCTGAAACCTCAACACTGTGATGTGACCACGCTCCTCGAAGGGGGTTCGTTTCTCCAGAAAGGGAGACTAAAAGAGTTTGTGCTCGTCAATTTTAGCTTCAAACTGCCGACACCTGAACAAGTGAATAGTTTCACCGACACATCCACACAGCGATACGAGCGCGGAGCTCCGGCGCCTCTGCAGACTCGGTACAGCTGTGAAGTCTGCTGCTCGGCGGCGGGGCCCTGGTCTCTCTTTCCATCACCGCTATCGGTTGTAACAAGATTTTAACAAATAAAAATAAAATATCCAAGTTATTTTAATAAAAATAATGTGCTTCCTGTGAAGTGAGGTTAATTACAAGGGCCAGGCACGGACGCAGGCCGTGGAACACCACCAGATGTCATTTCTGAAAATCCCCAAAAAGGTTCTGGCACACCGAAATTTCATTTGAAATAAACTTCACACAAAATACAAAACACTTCAACTCATATTTAGTGTCAAATTTAGCTTTAGGATCAATTTACCTATAAATTTATAGAAGAATGTTCGACCCGACAAGAAAATACGATTTCAATCACCTCTTGTGATTAATTCTTGTGATTAATTCGATCAAAACGAACAGGTCAATTCAAAATACGTTCATATTTAAGAAGTCACACAACAAAGAAATACATCATTAAAATATCTCCTGTCAATCTAACCCACAGTTTAAATAATTGTTAAACCGACCCAAATGCAGACTGACAGATTTGGGATCAGTCTAGAGTACAGCAATTTCTAATATTAAGTTTTACTTGCAAGGTCTACTATCGCGATACTGCCTGATATTACTATGATAATCAAAGTGGAGAAAATACTGCTGGTAAAATGAGATTAAATAAAATGGCTATTCACGGAGAGCTCACAGACAGAAGCAACAGCAACTCAGGATCAATCCTAGGGTCTTTTTTATTTCAAAGACTGAATAACTCGTAACTCGGAAGGGTTTATGTGATAAGAAAATACAGCTAAAATACTAAGACAGAGAGTCTTTATTGTTCCAAGTGGGTAATAAAATACTGAAGACGATAATAGTTAAAAGTAGTGTATTTATTTTAAAAGTAACAGTAGTGTATGTATTTTAGTATAACGTTTTTGTAGCTCATCCTGGACAAACCAGAAACTACCCGAATCAAGTCCTTGGTGTGCGCGAGAAAACGCTTCAGTTTTAACCCGTGAATCGCCAAATCCGGCCAGGGCGCACGAGAAGGGAGAGCAGGAAAGGGCCGGTCTGTCGATCAGAGCTGTGTAGAAACGCCCCACGCAGAGTCGGATCATTAATTTTGGGGTGGTGATGGGGGGAGGTGATTGGGGTGCTACAGTTTTATCTGGGGGAAGGCTATTTAACGGAGAAAGATGATTTGCATGCCATAGTTATTAAACAGTGATAAATCTGATCACCGTCCCTGAAGAGTTCGGGGTGGTATGTGCATTAACAACTGAAAGGCAGCTTATCCGAGCTCTCCTCCCCCCGCCCCCTGCCAATAGGCAGCACACACACACCAAGAAACACACACTCACACCAAGACATACACACACCGAGACACACTCACACCAACATACACACTGAGACACACACACACTCACACCAACATACACACAGAGAGACACACACCCAATGTCACACATGAGACAGATGCACCGACACACACACAAACACACACACACCAAGACATCAAGACATACGCACAGTGACACACACACACGTACATCCTCCCGGCGCTGCACGAGGGTTTGTATCTGTGTGCAGAAGGACACTCGTCACACTCAGCCGCTGGAAAGCGGAGGTAGGAGTTCACCAAAGTTCAAGGTTTGAGAGATCTGGGGAGAGAACCCGCTGTCTGTATCCTGGCACAACCGCTCAGGTCATTAAAATGGAAATTGCTCTCATTAGCAAGAGGGTGTTGTTGTTACGAGAGCGGGGGGAAAGGTAAAATAAATACATCTGATTGCAGTGAAGCGGTGCGGCGGCGCTACGCGCTTACGATGAGTTGACCGAATTTCTGCAGCGGAGCACCAAGACCCACAGCAGAGACACCAGCTAACACAGTTAAAATCTCTCTGCATAGAGTGTCCAAGCCGGGATCTTCATCTTTGACAACATATCGGCGTCCGTTGTGTTAGTAATTGAAAATCCCTTCCTTATCGGTCCTAGACCAAAACATGAGGAACCATGTCACAAAGCTCACGTGGCAAGCCTGAACGGTGGGAACACGTGCTTCCCAGGTAGGTTTCGCAGACCCGCCTCACAATCCCCGCATTGTCGTTCTCGAAAATCATTCCGCTATTATTTATGGGAAGCCAACGTTACTTGACGCAATAATAGAGCATTTCTCATGTGTGATTATTTCCTGAGAATCCAGCTTCCCCGGTGAAGTAAAGATCAGAGGCACCGCGAGTCCTCGCCCAGTCAGAAGGCTCCGGGCCGGAGCGGGACCGCCCGTCTCTCCGGACTGGGTTCGGATTATGGATCCTGACCTGCGGCATCTGCCCAGTCCCTTGAGTGAGAGAGGACGCTGCACAACGTCCCAGTGTACAGACAGACGGGAGCAACACATTTAAATCAATGTTTAATTGCGTTTAAATCAAGAGAACACAAACATCCTCACAACAAGAGATTCGAATCCGGGCTGACAGCGTGTTAATTTCACGTTGGAAGGCAGAAAGATAAAAAATGTTACGAACCAGAACTTATCATCGTGGACCAAAACAAGTCGTTTTCGGTCTGCTTACATACGAATGCACACTTCTGGAGAGATGCCAAATCTGCCTTAATCAACAATGTCAGTCTTGGCCTCGAGTGGGCGAATCGGCGAACACCGTTTAACAATTCCTCATATAAATGTCCTTCAGGATCAGTGAAAGTCTGTTAAATTCTATTATGTATAATTAATTATATAATTATATATTATGTGTTATATTTAGTGTCACGGTTTTTGTTGTTTGTTTTCTTATCTTAGGAAGCAAACGATTTGTTTAATATGTTCTCTTTTGCCGGCCAGCTTCGAAGTGTAGTACAAACCAGGCAGAACAGACATTCTCTCCGCTTCATCTCCGAGCTGCAGGCGAGAGCAAAGCGAAGATCCGAAGACGAGACTGAACTCTGTCCTTCGGATAAAATTCCTCTTCAGGATCGGAAAAAAAGACAGGGGTCGTTTCTACATTTTTAAGATCTGAAGACCGAGTCTTCTAAACTCTAATTTAGAAACCTCACAGCTCGCAAGCAATGTCTGGAAACACAAAAGTTGCAGTTGTATTGATATTTAATGCGCTGCTCCTGGTCTCCAGCATATTAAAGCACGATACGGGCGCTGTTTTACCTGAATTATTTGTTTCTATGATATAAACTACCGGAAACGGTTTCTGTAAGTCACTGTAACATACACAGTCGTGTGTGCGGGGTATTTCACTACTACTGCTGTCACGACTGACTTTTCCTGGCTACCCATGGGCGGGGTAGGACTTCCCTCTGACCCAGCGAAATACTCCGCTGAGCGCCAGAAAGAGTACTCTCACACTTAGCATTATTTTAGTTGCAGATACATCACTGACTCAAACTAGGAATATATCAAAAACTATCCCTGTTTCAGATAATAAATAAGAAACACGCCTGTTTGTAAAATACCCAAATTAATTCAAAAGTGCTTTTATTTAACTGTACGTTCCCTGATCAATTTCAGAGAATTATGGAGACTGTAAATCCCTCTTGTAGACCCAAGATATTCCGACATTTAATAACCTCAGAGCAAACTGAGGAAAACGTCCTCTGATGACATGTTGGATCATCTGTGGTAAAAGTGACCCGAACTTCTGCCGAGTTTAAATAAATAACCCAGGACAGATTTCACGGCGTTCGTGAGACCACGCGTGCTTTCTTTGAAGAAATGTACAAAATAGTTTTTCGAGTCCATCGGACTGTCTGTGAATACGACGAAGACTTTGTACGTGAGAGTCTAGGATCTTGCTATCGAGTTAATCGTTTCTTTAGTTCTGAAGACTAACAGATCGTTTTTAATCACTAGTCTTCTCCAGGAGGACGAAGCATTCTGTCATTTAGTACGAACGGGAGTAGGCTACAGGTCCTGTGAGTATCCCTTTTAAATTTCTTTTTTTTTTTAGTATTTTATGTATTTTATTTGTATGGTAAAAGTCTGTCTTTAGTGTCCCATATGTTCAAACCAGGAGAAGGGAGTTATTTAAATTTCCATTAAGGCGCTATAAAATGTAAACACGATGAATCCCCCCTTCATTACCACAGCGAGTTAATTGAAAACAGCATGCAGGATGCTTAGTTTTGTTTACCTGACCCCCTGAGAGCCTTCACAGAAACACAGGGGCAAACTGAAGCAGTTTCATTCACTAATCAATAAACCCATTAGGCACTGAACTGCAGCTACGATACTGTTCTGTCTCTTTCCTGCCGCAGTTCAGCATAGTGTTAAAACATTTGTGAAAGAAAGAGAAACATATATTTAAATGCATCTTCTGAAAGGGCTGCTGAACTTTTTGTAATGTCTGTCTTTAGGACGTTTGTCCTAGTGCGGTGCCCCAGTCTGAAGGACATGTGAGGAAATGAGAAATTCTGTTGAATCGACGGGAGAGACACAAGCTCTGAAATTAAGGATTAACAGGTCATCCGGGATAACAAAGCAAATGTAAATTGAAAAGTAGAAATATCCATTCTATGTGTAAAACACAACACTGCCACAAATTAAGCTTCAATAAAGAATGAAAACGTTTTCTAAGAATTTTACCCCCAACATCTTTAGCTACTGCGGCGTGGAAAGAGAGAAAATGTATTAACTGACCACAGTTTTCTCAGAGAATGTTCTCCCGTGTCGCTGCGCCTTTTGAAACCGCTGGTGAGGTTTGTGCTCGGTCTGGAGGAGTGCCGAGGAGAGTTCGACTGCGTTTCATTTTAGCACGTTTGAAATCGCTCTTCTTAAAAACAGCGCCGTGGTGCTGCTTCTGGGTCCAACAGCTAAATTTAATCTGTACATTTTTATTGTACCAGTCAGGGCAATAAATCGGATTTTTACACAAACACACATCAGCTAAATATACATTTTCTCGACAGTGATGTTAAACATTGACTCAAACGTCATATTATAATGTTCCGATTTCCAACAGCCTGCTCTTTTATTTATTTGTATGAACGCTTGCGCGCTATCGCTCTGCTCTGAAAACGGCGGGTTTAATGTTTTACAAAGGAGCTCGAGGCGCAGAGCCGTACAGAAATTGCCCCACGAAGAGTCGTTTCCGCGGAATATGTGGGCTGGTGTTTAACCTCCCCTTTCCAGAGGCATACTACACATTTTTATTCACTCTGGACCTGTTCTGTCGTGTAAGAATAATACCAATTCGGGCTCCAGGTCTCGTGACCCCGGCCTCTTCCTCCTCATGGCCGCGAGGACAGCCGTCCCTTCGGCCCCCACCCCTGCATAATCTATCATTAACACCCTGACACTAAGCTAAATAAATTGAGCCTTTCAACCCCTGTGGCTACCACTGGCATCTATTCCTGATAGCAGCTACGCCACATGCTTCGCAATAAGGAAATTTCCCCCCTTTTTAATTCGTCTAATTCAGGGCGGAGAGCGGAGGGAACCCAGCCTGAGCTCCAGACCACCGCCGGGCCGGGCCGGTCATTTTTCATGCGCTTTAAAAAGAAACAGGGCGAAAATACTTTTATGGTATTAAATCACATATACCGCTGACTACATTCGATACATTCTTCAAAAACAGTGATCTATGGAGTGCTGTAGGAGATGAATGTGACTACTTTAATCTCTTAGCGCTCCTCCGCAGCTGAGCTGGTCTATTGGCAATGGCCGTCTGGAAACGTCATCTTTTGACGAATTTTGGGTTCGCTTACAGGCAGCATTTACTTCGCTCTTCACATCGGTTTATTTATTGCTCTCTCACAAAGCCATGCGGCTCTGTTTCAAAAACGTGCACGCCTGTAGCGGTTTGAATTATTATTTTTAATTATTAGGAGCACATTATATTCCAAGGTGGGCACATCCGCACAAGAAGATGAGAAAGGGGACGCCTTTTGAACCCGGGGCTGGAGAAGCCCTTGTGACCGTGTGTAGTGTCTGTGGGGGGTGCCGTACCGCCGTGTGGTCTGGAAATAAAAGGCAGCTTTGTGCTAATTTGTGACTTTGTGTGCAAAGGCACGCGGATGCCCCTGTCGAAGAAGCTCTCACGTAAAGCGCACTGGAGAGGCGTGAATCTTGCCGGTAGCCAGTCTGTTTCTGCTCCCTCAGTCTCAGACCAGGTGAAGTCTGAGGATTAAAAAAAAAAACAACCAATCTCCTCCTACAAATAAAAACGCAGGGAGAAAAACATCCCAGCTTCCAACAGACGATACACTGCACGAATATCGATTCACCAGCAGGCCTTGAGCAAAACAGCGAGATGACGCAGGGGGACACCCCTGTAATTTCTCCATAATTGGAGCAGGTCTGCTTCTTAACCACCAATAAGTTTTGCACCCCCGGGGCCTTGTGAGACACGTATCCCTGCGTCTTCATGATCTCGATACGGGATTCCATGAGGGGTGGATGACAATTGTTTTGCTCAGAGCTTTTTTGTTTTTGGTCCGATTCTCTGACTCAGAGGTACAGAGGAGAAAGTTTTCTGGAGTTTTCGGAAAGAGCGAGTACGTCTCAGTAAAGCTACAAACAACCCCACTCACCGATGACAGGGTTTGTGGAAATGTTAACCCGTACAGTATTGGGCTGGAAACGTGCTCTGAACTCACACACACACGTCTCGCCCCGTCTGAAACACCAGCTTGTGCGGTCAATTCTTACTGAGCGAACTCATAAAAGCTGAACCATTGTGTCTTTTTTTTACAGAGTGACCCAGAAATATTCTGAGCACACAGCCGATTGCACGCTGAAATATATGCTGGGCTGGCTGCACGCGAGAGCAGGGTTTGCGTTCAGAAACTTAGACTACACCAACACACGTGGCTGTAAAATATCGACACCACAAACGCTTTTATTTGCTGAATGCAAGGTTTGCGTTTTTCCTCTTTGGCCCCGAATGGCCTTTTGCAACATGTTTATTGCTGTAATGTTGGTACTGCACACAGTTTAGCGTAATAAAGTCTGCTAAGATTTAAAGAGATTTGCAAAGCAGCGTGTTTAAACTCTCTTTCTGGGCCCGTGTTGTCGTCCAGTTCCGGCGTGGCCTCTCGGACGGGCTGGTGGCGGACAGAGTCGAACCCGCGTCTGGGCGGCCGAGGCTTGATCGCCAAAGGGGAGGCGTCATTCCGGACTGACCCGGAAACCGGACAGCGGACTCCCGTTCCTCCGAGGGTAATCTGCGCCTTTAAAAATCCATTGTAACGTCCCCCCCTCTCCCCGCCTCGCCCCTCTGGTTTGATCAGTAAAGCATGTCAGGGGGTGTTAACCCCCTTCCTGCGCAGCCCGATCTACATGAAAACGGAAGGGCTCTCCGAGTTTCTCTCCAGGCCGTCCATCCAGTCACAGAGCAGAGGCCGCGGCTGGGAGGCAGAAGGGGGGCGGCGGGGGCGCTGTAGGTCGTCAGCAGCGCTCCGGTACCAGAGCAGAAAGACAGAGCTCGGTTCATCTCGCCCTGGAGCCCCGGCGGGCTGTACTTCGCCAAAACAGCTCCAAAACCACGTTGGTTCTGCAACCAGACCTAATTGTAAAAGGTCAGAAGTTGCAGCATAACAATAATCCTTGCATACATTGTGCGACCCTCAGCATTGAATAGAAACAGATACAAAGTGACCTGCACATAAGTGCATTAGATACGGACGTATTTCTTCAGTTTCTCTTGTAATTATTTCAAATAGTCTATATATATTTCTTA